AAAAAAGCTGTAGTCCGGTCTGCTGGGGGAGAATGTGCTTCCAAGCCCACTCACAGGGCTGTTGGTAGGCCTCAGAAGAGCCATTTCCAAGCTCATTCATGTGGGCTTCTCTACAGGCCTTCGTCACAACAAAACAGATGGATTCCTCCAGAGCAAACAATTCAAGAGAGAACAAGAGACAGAACCCAAGGTGGAAGTCATAGTCTTTGTATTACCTCATTTCAGAAGTGACTTCCCATCATTTTTGCCATATTTTATTCACTAGAAGTGAGTTACTAATTTTAGCCCACACTCAAGGGGAGAAGACTTAAACTCCACCTCTTCCTGGGAAGAGTATCAAAGAAGTTGTGGACATATATTTAAAACCACCTCACAAACCTAGGTCTTCTGACTCCAAAAGTTCCAACTTAATGTTTATATGTTACAGAGTTAAGCCAAGTAATGCCAACATCACCCCCATGTAAGTCCCACACTTTTACATTCCCTAGCAACAAGACAATTACTCTTAGCCCAAGCCTTGACTCTCATTTAGTCCCAGAAGACAGGATTGACCATGACCATTGGGCCTGTTCCTACTGCCTTTGGATTTTGCCTGGGATTAGGTAGATGCAAGTGTCCTGGCTTCCTGCTACCTGAAACAACTCTGAATTGTCTGAAGCCAGTACCAAGTCTGCAAGTATAGAATAGGGTCAGATGGACAGGTCACTATGTCCAGTGCTGCATGTGGTGCCACAAGGACTGGGGGATGCCTTGGCTGTTGGACAGAGGCCCACATGTCAATGTTGTAACATTGGCTTTGAGAACTGGAACACAATGGTAATGAAGGAAAACATTTTCAGGTTCCTAATACTGAGAACATTTGAGTAAATTTACATTTATTGATGTAAATGTGTCCCATTGTTATTATAGTATTCTGGAACTTCCAAACACTGGTGCTGACTAGTTACACTGAAGTCTTAAGTACCCTTCTAAGTTTGGCCAGATTCTGGAGGAAAAGAAAAAAAAAATATTATTACTCTCTCCTCTACATTATCAGGGACTTTCTATTACAAACTATTTCTACATAGTAAGCCAACCATCCCACGGTGTTTTGGAGTACAGACACAGAAACCCTGTTCATATAAGATGTTTATTATTTATGGACACAGTACAGCATTATCGCGTTTCTTATTTGGTTCTTTTAGGCATCTGTGCTATTCCCTTGGAGAGCATTTCTGGAAGATGGAGGACTATTTCCAGTCATGAGTAGCAGCCCAGATACCCTAGAATATAATATGCAGGTAAGATAGGTCTTCCCATTTGTCACAGAGAGAACTGAATGCAGATTGCAAGGCAGGTGTCATTGGGTCCATAGGTCAGTGGTGAATAATTTATGAGATAAGCAGGGGTGTTTATGGGATTATGAAGCCATAAACCCAATGATACAAGGTGAGTCATGTTTTCTTCTGACAGAAGAGAATCATGTTCTCAGTGCTATGGGCCTCTGTTGTAGACTCAGCTGCAATTCCCACGGCCAGTAATGATCTGGGAGAGTGGCCATCCATCTCCAATCACTCTCTGGGCCTCTTAGAGAAACACCCAGGCTGGAAGTTCAAGGCTGTGGGACCAGGATCCTGGCCTGCCTGTGAACAGTGGCAGGAAAAGAACTCTTTAAGCAGGATCCATAAGGAGAATTTCTTTCAATTATGTATTTCCCCCTTATTACCTAAGCAAATATCATTGTGTTCTCATTTTTAAAAATAGAAAATATAAAAAATATTAAGAAAAACATGAAAATCAATCGTAAATTTGCTTCAAAATAATATGGAAGTGGGGAGTGACGGGGATAGGGGCAGGACTGGCCATATAGGGCTGGGTGATGGGAACGATACTGTTTGCTTTTGTTTCTGGTCAAAATTAAAGTTGTTTGGATTTTTTAAAGTAAAGTAGTAAGAATGGTTAAGAAAATCAGTTGTAGTGCCCCACTTCACATTTTGGTTTATTTTTTCCAGTATTTTCCTTATGCATACATGTGTTTATATCTGTACTTTTAAAGGAAAACTGATACCATACAATACATTCACCACGTACAGATACCACTGTAAAGTGCTGGGAAACTTGGACTTCCACACAAAGCCAAAAGTCTGATATGTTCAAGAAGGACTTTGAGCTAGAAATGTTACTCTGATTTTTATGGATTTTCTAATAGTCAAGAGGGCGGGGCTTATACTCATAATTATTCCTAGTTTTCTCCCCAAAATCATTAAAGGATACCTAGAGATCTTCAAAACGGGTGTTTTGTTTTGTTCTTTTTCTGTTTTTAGATGTGCTTCTGTAGGCTGAGCAACCGTGACCTTAAGGCGGCTCATGGAGAGCTGGTGGGCGTGCAGCTGCTTTTGGAAGATGTACTTCTGAGCAGTGATCACATGATCATAGAGGATCCCTCCAGACAGCAAGCCACACTGGATAAACACTCTCAGGGACATAATTGGCCAGTGCTGTATTGTACTAAAGGAATTTCCTCTCTGGGAGATGGGCCAGAGAGCCACCTCTGTCCAACAGTGTCTCCCAATGGGTCCCAGGACTGTGCAGGGGTCACCTGTGGTCCATGGTATGTATATTCATTTCTTTTCACTTGAAAAATAGAACAAAAGTTGTGGGCGGCCCATTGAAACCAAATGGAACAAATAATCCAACTGGCTGGATTTCTTTAGGAGTCACACACATTTAGAGTCGGAAGACACATTTAGAACTGGAGTCGTAAGGACTGGAGGGGTATGACAGAGGCTCCGGTTGAACCCCTCCAGCCTGGGCTCTCGTCTTCATCACTCAGCTAGCCTGTGGATGCCTAGGTGCTGCCTTCTCTGAACTTGACCCTCTGAAGCTCTGAGGTACCAAGAGCCTCTAGCCCACCTTATCATGACTGGAAACAATTCTGCCCATATCTGGGAACCAGACAGAGACTTGTCTGGACACAGGGGAAGCTAGCTGGTGCCCCCATCTGAAGAGCCTCCGCTTCCAAGCCAACCTTTCCAAGAGAGGTCTGCAGCAGCCCCCTCCAATTCCTTACCTTCAGTCCGCTCCTCAGAAACTGCACTTCATCACCACTGAGACTGCTCTCATCGAGAGCACCATGGTCCTTGTCATTAAATCCCCCGGATACTTTTTAGTCCCCTTCCATGCTGACCCCTTGGCAGCGTTTGACACAGCGTGTCCTTCTTGCAGTCTCCCTGTGCCTGGCTTCCAAAGCACAGCTCCCTCCTAGTTTTCCTCCAGCCTTGGTAGCCAGGCCTTCTCAGACTTTCCCATAGACTCCCCTCTGCCTCCTGCCTCCCCTCTTCCTCTCGCAATCCCCAAAGCATTATTTTTTGGGTTCTGTCCCGCTGCTACACTCCCAGGTCTGCATTTTGACTTCCATGATGTTAGCCACTTTTGTCTTTGTAGGCCCCTTCCTCTATAAAAAAGCATTAAAAGTGATAGTTTACAACTGTGTTAATATAAAAAAAAATATCCTATATTAAAACATTTTATTCAGCCCCAATATCCTTTATTTTGTGATTTTAAAATAAATTAAAACACCCTGTGGGCCCTGGGCACTGTGCCTTCTGTGTCTGGTCAATAAGCGTCTCCTAAACACTATTAATACTACTATTGGCTACGATTGAGATCTTTTCAGAATGCTTTGGTAATTATTAGTTTCTTTAACATCACAATAGTTCCATGAAGTAGGTATTTTCATTATTCTCCTTTTACAGGTAATACTGAAGCTCAGAAAGTTTAAGTGATGTGCCCAAAGTCACATACCTAGTGAGGAGAGAAACCCAGATTCCAGCTGAACAGTCTGGCCCTGGAGCTCCCTTCTACTCTTACCCACTACGTTGTTCCACTTCTCAGCCTCTCTCTAGGCAAACTCATCTGCTTTTGTAACTTTGACGACTTTACATATGATGACTCATGCAATGACCATCTCCATGTCGTGTCCAAGTTTCAATCCTGTCAGATTCATGCATTCACTTCCTTGTTCCATCCCAGAGTCCGTGTCTCCCAAACTGAGCTTATTTCACTGCCCAAAACTTGCTCTTCTTTCCATATTCCCTGTCAGTGAAGCACCATCTGCCCAGTCGCCCAAGCCAAAACATCTGGACACCCATCTTTGATTTTTCTCTGTCATACCCCACAATCAGATGCTAAGTTTTACTATCCTATTACTTTAATCTCTCTCAAGTTTGTCTACTGTTCCTCATCTTCCAACACCAACCCCCAATCAGCATCATCTCCTAATGTTAAGCTATGAGCATAACCTCCAATTGGACTCCATATATTCACTCTTGCCTTCTTCCTGTACATTCACCAGGGTAATATTTTTAAATGTAAACCTGATTACGTCACTTCCCTTATAACCCTTCAATGACTTCCAAATGCCCCAAGAATGGAATCCAAGTGCTGTAACCAGACCTTCACCACCTGTCCCCTGCTGACATCTCTACCCTCAACTTCTTTCATTTTATCAAATGAACCGTGCTCTCTCTCCCCAGTAACTTTGTGCGAGCCAGCGCCTCTGCTGGAAAACGTCCTTCCTCGTCCTCCTCCTTCTCTACGTCACCATCTCATCAACTCCTATTTCTCCTTCAGGTTTCAGCTTCCACACCAGTCTTCCAGAAGCTTTTTCAGATTTTCTACCTTTGAGCTGATGCCCCTCTGTGCCAATGAGGGTGCACTTGTTATAAGCGACAGTTGTCCTACTAGCCATGACTTAAATTAGAAAGGGCACTAATCTTTCAAAACAAGTCTAAGAGGAGGTGGTTCAGGTTGGTACAGTCACCCAGGTTGGTGTAGGCCCCAGCTCTGCCATCATGGGTGTGTCTGAAAAATGTCTCTTTCATCCTTGTAAGATGAAAACAGGGGCAAAAAAGCTTTCTCCTTAAGGGACTTTAACTTTCTACCAAGGAAGAAAATCCTTCCCAGAGCCTTCTAATAGATTTTCCTTGGGTCCTACTGGCTAAAATTGAGTCACAGGTCTACTTCAGGCAAATTAGGGGAAAAGGAAGTATGTTTAGATGTGCCATCTAAATTCCACAACAGAATTAGATGTTTCACTCAGAGGGAGCATTTGCAAAGCAGGATTGCCACCAAGTAGTACCAAGATCAAGCAGCATGCTGGGCCCTCTGGGCCCTCTATTTGCTATTTCTTGGTCCTGTTTTTGATGAATTGTCATCCTTCCCTGACTTCCCCACTGTCCCCCACCTTCATGCTTTATCCTGTCTCCTGTTCCTTCTTTCATCCTTTAAAATACTTAGGAAGAGAAGACTTCTCTTATTATGAATATATTAACAAAATAGTTTGCTTTAAAGTTATTTATTTTAATTAGTTTTATTTCATGATTTGTTTTTAAATATTCATAGACAATAGGAAGCACTGGGATCTAGCCCCGCATTGGGCTCCCCACTCAACGGGAAGCCTGTTTCTCCCTCTCCCACTTACCCTGCTTGTGTTCCCTCTCTCACTGTCCCTATTGCTGTCAAATGAATAAATAAAATCTTTAAAAATGAAAAAAAATAATACACAGTGATTCCATGTTTATATGCCTTGCAAAATGATCATCACAGTAAGTCTAGTTACCGTCCATCACTATACAAAGTTAATATAATATTATTGACTGTATTCCCCAAACAGTATATTACATCCCCATGATTTTTTATTTTATAACTGGAAGTTTGTACTTCTTGATCCCCTTTACTCATTTAGTCCCCCAAACCTCCTCTCCTCTGGCAACCCCCAATCTGTTCTCTATATCTATGTCTTGATTTAATTTTGTTTTGTTTTGTTTTTTAGATTCCACATGTGAGTGAAAGCATGCAGTATTTGTCTCTGACTGACTTATATCACTTAGTGTAATACCTACAAGATCCATCCATATTGTCACAAATGGCAGGCTTTTATCCTTTTTTATGGCTGAGTAGTATTCATGTGTGTGTGTTTGTGTGTGTGTGTGTGTGTGTGTGTGTGTGTGTGTGTGTGTGTGTAACCACATCTTTATCTGGTCATCCATCAATGAACACTTAGGGTTTTCCAATATCTTGGCTGTTGCAAATAATGCTTCAATGAACATAATATGCATATATCTTTTCAAATTGTATTTTCATTTTCTTCAGGTAGATGCCCAGTAGTGGAATTACTGGATCATATGGTAGCTCTATTTTTAAGAGGAATCTCCAAACTGTTTTTCATAGTGGTACACCAATTTACATTCCCACCAACTGCACAACAGTTCCCTTTTTACCCTATCCTTGCCAGTACTTGTTATTTTTTGTCTTTTTTATGATAGTTATTCTGACAGGTGTGTGGTGATATCTCATTCTGGTTTTGATTTACATTTCTCTGGTGATTAGTAATGTTAAGCATTTTTTCATATACTTATTGGCCATCTGTATGTTTTTTTTTTTAATGTCTATTCAGACCCTCTATTTTTAAATTTTTTGTTTTTTTGTTATTGACTTGTATGAGTTCTTTATGTATTCTGGATTTTAACCCCTATTAGGTATATGATTTGCAAATATCTTCTTCCATTCAGTAAATTACTTTTTATTTTGTTGGTAGTTTCTTTCACTGTACAGTAGCTTTTTAATTTGATGTAGTCCCACTTGTTTGCTTTGCTTTTGTTTTCCTTGCTGTTTCCCTTGCCTTTGGAGTCAGATCCAGAGAAATATCACTAAGAACAATGTCAAAGGTCTTACTGCCTGTATTTCCTTCCAGGAGTTTTAAGTTTCAGGTCTTACATTCAAGTCTTTCATCCATTTTGTGTTTATTTTTGTATTTGGTGTAAGATAGTGGTCTCTTTTAATTTTTGCAGGTAGCTGTCCAGTTTTCCCAGTACCAGTTATTGAAGAGACGATCCTCTCCCCATTCTATATTCTTACCTTTGTCATAAATTAATTGATCATATATGCATGAATTTATTTCTGGGCTCTCTATTCTGTTCCATTGACCTATGTATTTATATTTATGCTAATACCATGCTGTTTGATTATTATAGCTTTGTAGTATAGTTTGAAATCAGGGAGCATGATACTGCTGGATTTCTTTTTCTTTCACAAGATTGTTTTGGTCATTTGGGGGTCTTTTGTGGTTCCATATAAATTTTAGAATTATATTCTAGTTCTGTGAAAAATGCCATTGGAATTTTCATAGAGACTGCATGAATCTGTAGATTGTTTTGTCTAGTATGAATATTTTAATATTAATTTTAATTCTTCTAATTCCATGAGCATGGAATACCTTCCCATTTATTAGTGTCTTCTTCAATTTCTTTTATCTACAAGTTATAGTTTTCAGTGTACAGGTCTTTCACCTCCTTGTTTAAATCTATTGCTTGGTATTCTTTTTGATATGATTGTATATGGGATTGTTTTCTCCGTTTCTCATTCTTATAGTTTGTTATTAATGTATAAAAACACAACAGATTTTTGTAT